GCAGAAATGGAATTGTTACCACCACAGACAACACTCAATGTATCCATATCTTGTGCAATCACTCAATCCAAATTCCAAGACCTACAAAAAAACTAAAAAACGAAAACAAATGACGGTTTTTTTTTGTAGAGTTTTGGTGAGTACACTTATGATTGCAGGAAAAATGCGCAGGCAGACAAAATGAATAATCTAACCGCTATAACTATCTGTTCACCGCATTCTCCGATTGATTAGTCCTTCGCGTACTTTCACACCGCGTAAACTCGACTTCACTTTATACTTCAGACCCACACGGGGGTAAGCTATGAAATTCTAATATCGCCTTCGAGCTTACTCACTCGGCTCCGAGTGTCCCTTCCCCTGGTTCGGATGCTTGAAGCTTCAACCTTCCGACCTCCGACAGCCCACAGATCCTTTCTCGGCCATAATCAATCTGCCATCACAAAAGGGAGGCCAAAGGATCCATAGACGAGTAGAAATTAGAGACACCATGATGGCGGCAGCAGTACTAGTAAGAATAATAGGCCTCCTGTCGTTGGTATCCTTGTTGGCGTCCGCCAGGGCATTTACTCCCGTGGCTCTTCTTCGCACTCGAGGAGGAGGATGCCATCAAGATTCTTCCCTCGACCAGTCGACCACTCCAGAAGTGCCCAAGGAGGAACTGGAAATCTTTGAACGGTTTTCCAACTTTCTCCAAGCCAAACAACGAGAAATCATTGCCCAAATTGAAGAAATCGATGGATCCGGGCAAACCTTTTCCAAGAATACATGGGGAATCTTTGATACGGACAGCGACGATTTGCCCAAAGTGGGTGCCGGTGGTATTACCCGTGTCATTCAAGGTGGCAACGTTGTGGAAAAGGGCGCTTGCTCCTTGACAATCATTCAAAATGGAGTCCTCTCGGCGGAACGAGCCGCGGCCATTCGAGCACGACAACCCAAAGATGATGATGACGACGACGAAGATGATGACTTTTTGATTGGATCGGGAGACTTTTATTCGGCGGCTGCCCTCAGTATCGTCTTGCATTCTCGGTCTCCCATGGTGCCTACGTTTCGATCGGATGTACGCATATTCCTCGTTCAGGATGTGTCTTCCAAAGAAAGGACACGGCCCGTCATGGCGTGGTTTGGAGGAGGGGTAAGTACAGTATCTCTTGTGTGTTTCCCGTTCATTCCCAACAAGCAATATCATGCAGTGTAATCATATTGATCGGACGCTTTCATGCATTGTCTTTCTGTGGTCCCACAACCCGCATTATGGCACGGTTTTAGGCTGACTTGACACCGTATTATTTGATTGAAGAAGACATTCGATTCTTTCACAACAAATACAAGGAAGTCTGCGAATCCTACGGACAAAGTTATCCCGACATGAAAAAGTGCTGCGATGACTACTTTTATTTGCCGGCACGGTCCGAACACCGAGGGACGGGTGGCATTTTCTTTGATGACATGGAAGCCGACGAAGAAGGAGTCCTGGACTTTGTACAGGCCGTGGCCGATGCATGGATGCCCTCCTGGTTGCCCATTGTGGAAAAACGACAACCTCTCGACTACACGGACGAACAAAAGCAATGGCAAAAACTACGTCGTGGACGGTATTTGGAATTCAATCTACTCTATGACCGAGGCGTCAAGTTTGGACTGCAAACTGCCAATCCGCGCGTCGAGGGTGTCATGGTCTCGGCTCCACCGGAAATTGCATTTGAATACAATCATGTAGTAGCAGAAGGAAGTGAAGAAGAGAAACTCATGAAGATTCTCAAGAATCCCATTGACTGGGTCTGAACGACGAAGGGGTGTGTGGTTATTACAGCTCAATTCAATTCATAATCAGTGCTAGTAGCTAGCTGGCTAGCTAGTGAGTGTAACAAGCAAACGTAAGTAGCAGATGGTACCGTACGGGACCAGTGCTGTTCATGGATAGACAAGCAAAACTATATAGCAGAGCCTACCTACATGCTTATCTACATGTACCGTACATTTGCTTAGGCAAAGGTATTAGTTCCTCGGAAGATTTCAAATTGACAAGGAGGTACCGTACGGGAAAATTGGAAGTAATAACCTCCGCCTTTTCTTCCTTTGTACTTCCTTTGTACTTCCTTTGTCCTCCCGAGAATGGGAGCTACCATCGGAATCGCCAGGGCAAAAGTCTTTCTTGCTGTGTTTGCTGCTGCCGACTCTGCTGCTGTTTTTCACCCAACCACCTACTAGACAGTACTTCCCATTGAGGTGTGTCACTGCCATCACTGCTCCTGGCCACAGTGCTATTGCATAGTTAGTTGTTAACCCAAGCTCGAATAAGTAGTAGACTATAATCAAAGAGTTGTAGAATTGGTGATTTCAAAAGATCCGTCTGCTTGAACCGAAACATCAATGGTGATATCAGTGAAGGCCTCCCCAGCCCCGAAAGAATACAACACTGTTTCCTTGCTTCCTGTTAGAGTAATCCATCCGGGGGATACAATTCCATCACTCCACCTGTCAAATACCATCAATCTGTAGGCTGTGTCAGTGTTCACTGGGAAGAGAGAGGAGTGAAGGTACTCTTGAACCTCTAGTGGACCACCTGATTCCAATGTATCCCAAATGCCAGTCACATTGGTTTCCATCTGCCAAACCCATGATGTCTCTTCGGGGAAATAATCTGTATAGATATTGAGCATGACATCAGCACTTGTGGTTGGAAACCGCCCAGGCCAATCAGGTGGAGCTTCTTTGAGGTCAGCACAGGTGGAAACAGGGGTAGTTTCATTTTGGGAACAGTCACACCGTAGAATAGAACAAAGATGCTCTGGCACAGTTCCTGAGAACTGATTCCCATATAGCCTCAATCCCATTGATGCATTCAGTTGGCTGGGCAGTGTTCCTGTAAGGTTATTGTTGTGAAGACCCACAGATGTCAAAGATGTCATCATGCCAATTTCATCTGGGATTGTTCGGGTGAACCGATTGGCAAATAGGGAAAGCCAGCCCAGTGAGGTCAGGAGCCCTAGCTCCGAAGGCAGTGGACCACTCAACCAGTTATCAAAAAGGTCAAGATATTCCAATAAGGTCAGGTGTCCAAGCTCTGAACAAATCGGACCGGACAACTGATTCTCAGCAAGCAGAAGAGTATCCACTGAGGTAAGGAGCCAAAGTTCGGAAGGAACTGGACCAGTAAACTGATTGGTAAAGAGGGAAATCCCATCCAATGAGATGCAGCGTCCGATCTCAGAAGGCAAAGAACCAGAAAACTGATTCTCATTCAGATGTAGCGATTGCAACGAGGTTAGGAGCCCAAGCTCAGAAGGCAGTAAACCAGTAAATTGATTTTGCTGAAGGTCAATTGTGTCCAATGAGGTTAAGAGCCCCAGCTCAAGAGGCAGTGGACCGGACAACTGGTTGACCTGAAGGTGCAGCTGTTTCAATGAGGTAATTCGCCCAAGCTCAGAAGCCACTGGACCAGTGAGCTGGTTAGAAGTGAGCACAAGAATCTCCAGTGAGGTCAGCTGTGCCAACTCAGAAGGAACTTGGCCCAGCAGCAGATTCCCAGGAAACTGTAAAGTGTTCAATCCAGTCAACTCATAAAATGCTGTTGGTAACATGGATGAAATTGGTGCCTCAATGTCACTGTTCCAAAGGTATACACTAGACAAGGAAGTCAAGAGCACAATCTCAGGTGGCAAGAATGGGGCAAGACCGGAGAGCTGCAGCTCATTCAGATTCAGAGATGTGAATTGTCCCTGGCTGTTGCAAGAGGAGATTCCATTTGTCCAATCATAGTATTTTCCATCCGATGGTGAGAAGTATCCGAACCCACTGGAGAACCAGTCACACTCTTCCTTTGCGTCATCCATCCATCCATGGCCTTTTATTAAAGGGTTCCAATTGCCCCCCTCAAAGGAGTAAAAGAAAGTAGCAAGAGCAAACAGCTGCTCCTTCCTCCATTCTGGAAGAAACGTGATATTTTGGTGTTCGGCAAGCCATTGCCACGCTCTCCACTGCGGGGTCGCACTGCTATTATTGATGCTGGCCAAAGTGTAATCAGGGAGACTATCCAACAGTATGTCCAGAACCCCAGTGGGGGCAGATGATGGCACCTCGGATGGTACCATAGAAAGGAAGACTGTAGGCATGGGTGTATCAGACCTACTACTCGATTCATTGTCGTTGTTCTGAGTTCCCACCACAGTACCAATGATGGCAACGGCTGCAAGAACGAACAGTACGGAAATAAAGTCAAATGTCTTCTGCTGATTTTTGATTCTCTCTTGTTTTTCTTCCTGCTTTCTCACATTGACAAGATCGGCGTGCAGGAGCGTGCTGGGTGTGTTAAAATTAACCGAGATTGGATCGGCCACTGCTAGTTGTCGTTCACTGATGGTGGGCAATTCATCCAGTTGTAGAAGCAGTGTGGAGGAATCATGTAAATACGCATCATTCATCGGCACTATTCGTTCACCCTGACCCGTAGCACTGGCACCAACAAGGGAGAATCGTAGGGTAGTTGCCCGTTGCAAGGCTTCTCCCGGTAAACCCATGTAGGCTCCGGGTCTTGATGACAGATGTTGCCTCTGTTGGATAGGTTCTGGTTGTGTGGGTCCCACAGCTTGTTCATTCATTGCAACATGAGCAAATTTTTCCATTTTGGCATTTTCATTGATTTCAGTTGCAATTTGCATAAGATCGTTGATGGCCGTGACGCCTTTGTCCTCCTCCAACACTTGTGCTGTTGTCGACCATTTGACAGCTGTCGATCCTTTGGCAGCAGCTGTCTGTCCTTCGCGGAAAAATGATATCCGGTGGCGTTGTTGATTGATATTTTGATCCTTCTGCAACATTTGTGTTGTTGCCAAACCAGCCTGATCTGTCACAATTTCCATGATTTCTTCTTCTTTCACTTCTTCTTCATCTACTGCTTGATTGGTTTCTCCTGTAGCTTGCTGCTGTTTCTGCTAGTTAGGTATCAACTGGGTTTTACCAGTTCTACCTTTGGTCACAGCCGTGGACGAACTTGCAGGGGCCTTTTTGGCTGGCAGTTTCTTGACAGCTTCTTCTTCCTGTGTTCTTGTGTTAATGGTTTTATGGTCTTGTTGCCATTGCAAGGCTTCTGCCTCAGCTCTCTTGATCAGAGCATCCCTTACCGCTGAGTCACGGCTTGAGTTTTCCACATGGCTACCATTGCGGTCACCAGCGTTCCCAGAATCTTCCTTCCCATTCATTTGTTCTTCTGTGGTCTCTGCCCGCTGTTGTAGGGTTGGCATGAAGCATGAAATGCAACGGAGTTTGTGTCTTTTGAGAAGGGAACGATTGGGTTGCTATGGTTGTCTTTTTGAGAAGTGAGATCTGGTGCGAGGAATCTGGAAAATGGGGATTCTCAAGAATCAGTTTTGGTTTTTTGCTGATTCTTAAGAATCACCAGGCACCCAGTATGCTGTCTAATATGCAGCCTATTCTATAGCAATATGCACTTCATAGCTAGCAATGCTATCCCCTGATACTATCTGCTAACCAACAACAATCTTTGCTGATTCGAACAGCCTTGTAATGATGTAGCAGTGATGTTACAACCATTGCAATGGAGTCTTTCTTGATTTTTACCAGTATTCCCAAGATTCAGCATATTTGCATGGAGGATTCATTTAAAAGAATCATCATAATTTGGAGAGGATTTTTAAGAATCAGTAAAAATTATTCAATGATTCTTAAGAATCAGCAAAAAATATTTAATGATTCTTAAGAATCAGCCCATGATTCTTAATTAAAAGAATCAGTAAAATGATTCTTTAGAATCTTATTTTTCCAAGATTCTTTGTCTACACGTGTACTGTGTATTCTATTCTTAAAAAGAATCATAATTTTCCCAAGATTTTTTCCTGATTCTTAAGAATAATCTGATTCTTAAGACTCCTCCTAACAGATCGAGGTGCTGCTGCGCGCTGCACCAGTGTCCAAGGACAAAAACTGCACAGCCGCATGCTTGCAGCCATATTTGCCTGGACTGTAGCAATTCTCCAACACCCAAAACTGGCAGGAAGGAACATTCACATCTGACTGGACTGCTAGCTGGACTACCAGGTACAGTCGTACATACCGGTAGCAGAACCTACGGTACTTACATGCTTATCTACCCTTATTTGCTTGGTTCCTTTGCGCTACTAGAGTCTACTAGCTAGCTAGAAGCTCATGTGATGACTTTTGTCAGAGGGCAAGACAGCGGGCGAGAATCTGTGTGCCCATTTACTCTGCCTGAAACATGTCTGAGGGCAACGTATTCTCAAGCTCCCGAGCCTCTGGGCTTTGGCCGAGCCAACAACATCACGGCGCCAATGCTCTTGATTCATTCCTGATGAAAACTACTGTAACTTAAACTTCACCCCAACGATGCCTTGGTTTCTGGAGTATCGTCCGGCACTTGAGCACTTTCTCCTCCCGGTGCATAGAGGGAATCATCTCCCCCAAGGGCATCGGTTTCCACTTCCAATCCAATTCCCAGAAAAGTAGATTTCTTGGTTTGAAAATCAAATCGCCCCAACAAGGAACACGTCATGCGTGGTTGCTTCCATCGTTTCATCAACAAGCCGTATGTCATGGAATAATTGTTGGGTTGTTGTTGTTGTGCAGACGACGACGACGATTGACTGGTTCCCACCACTTTGACCGCCACGGCACGATTGCATTGCCAGACGCCTGCAACGGACAAGCTCGACGATGCGTCGTTGGGTTTCGTTTCCAATTGGACCGTCCATCCCACTGTATTGCGGACTCTGGGTGCGCGGGTGTCCAAAACGTTAAAGTTCAATCGATCCAATGTCAAGAGTTGGCTGACGTGAATGGTGGCGGTTTGGGGAGTCGATGTCATGGTCAACCAGAGTGGTGGGGTAGTATTGTTGTTGTGGTTGTTGCTGCCGCCGTCCAGCTGCATGGAAAAGTACTTGGAGACTTGTGTTTCCAGTGTTTGGGTGTTGAATTTGGTTTCCAAAGCCGTGGTACTTCCCAGCATGTCGATAGATAAGCATCCATGCACCACCTTGGGCCAGTTTGTATTATGATTATTTCTTTGTCGAGTAGGATATGGTGTAGATTTTTGGGATTTCCACCGCAGTGGAACCCAGGATCCCAGCTGGACCTGAATCCTGTCATCCAAACTGTTGCTGTTGTCTAGATGGTTCCAATCATCGTACTCTTGATCGTCAATGGATACTTTCGCAGCAGCATTCGAACTGCTGCTTTTGGCAAATGAAAATCCCAGTTGACCACCGACATATCCCGCACCATGGGTATTGACATTTCCAACGAGAAAGGACTGTGGGGTCACTTGATGGGTGGCAAATAAATGCATGGGTCCTTCGGTTCCCGCGCACAACTCCACTTGCGAAGACCCTGCGGTGGAACCAAAGGAAATTCGACCACCTGAACTCGTGGCTTGGAGTGGTAAGGATGCTCGTACGGTAGTGCTACTGCCATTATTATTGGCAGAAGAATTCCCCGCCAACACCCACATTCCCGGAGTCATGAAATCGTGCAAGAGACCATGACCCACATGGCTGACACAGAGGTATTCTACCAACGACGGCGAGATGGGTAGACGGTCGTAGGCCGAAATAGGAGATAACCGATGCTGCAGTAGTGATGCTGCCTTGCTGCCACTCTTGTCTTGGTTATTGACAACGGCAAACACGGGGGGTATCAGGACGCCTTGTTGCCGAATGAATCTTTCTTGTCGTTGCTCGGGAGTTTCCTTTGATACCGTTTTAGAGGAAGAGGAACCCATTTTATTTGCACTATTATTTTACAGAGTGAAAGTCAAGTCTGCAAAAGTCGTCAGCGCTTGGCAGTCTCCTTCTTGCTTTCCGAGGCCAATGGAGGCAGGTGTGGCTCAAGTGTCAATTTGCAACAGGAGCGTTCCTCAATCGTGTATGAAGTTAAATCTGAAACGACCCTAATTTAGGGACGGATTTAGGGACGGATTCCCTTTAGGGTCGGGTTTCAAAACCGACCCTAAAAATAGGGACGGTTTTTCAAAAACCGTCCCTAATTTAGGGTCAGATTTCGATTTAGGGTCGGGTTTGAAAACTGTCCCTAAATAGAAACGGGACTGAGTGGTAAATACATTGAAATCCGACCCTAATTTAGGGTCGGGTTTCAAAACCGACCCTAAAAATATGGACGGTTTCTGAAAAACCGTCCCTAATTTAGGGTCGGATTTTGATTTTGGGTCGGGTTTCGAACCCGACCCTATTCTCCAATAGAATTAGGGACGGGTTTCAAAGATTTAGGGTCGGATTTAGGGTTGGTTTCTCCATCACCCACGATTGAGGGACGCTCCAGGATTCTTGGAGGTGACCCTTGCACGGTCACCCGTCCCCCCTACTATTTTTTTTACAGTATAAAGTCAAAGACTTAATGAAGGGGGGACCGCCGTTGCAAAATAAATTCTCTTTGTGGGAAGCACAGCAACTCGATCGTCCTCGTCCATCAACCATCACCAATGATGAGGACGACGACGACTACTGCTCCTATGCATACAACGACTGCTCCTACTGCTAGACGACGACAAGCAGCTGGTAGCAGTAGTAGCAGCAACAGCTTTGTTCATCCCGGCCATTGCAGTGCAAGTGCTCACCGTGGGACTTCACCAGAGCTGCTCCTTGACGGCGACGGCACAGTCGCACGAAAGCAGCATCGAATCAGGGAGGAGCAAGAAGTGCTACACATACACATTCACACTAGAATTGCTTCAGATGGATCTGCACATTGACGAGGAGAAGAAAGAGGGTTGTATTACGGGGGAGGCTGTGGAAGAGCTGGCATTGGCAAAAGAAGACGACGAAGATGATCAGCTCCTGGATCAGGAGCTCGTGGAGCTTCCAGACGAGTTGATGCCATCCCTTCGCGGGAAGCGTGAGTACACAACAGAACAAGAGTTGCAAGACGCCCTTGTCGTAGCTGGCCTTGCAGATCTTCCGATTATTTTGGTGGGTGGACGTGCTCTCTTGAAAACGCCGTCGGACCAGCACAACATATTCACAACCAAGTATGTACAAAACTTTGTTCGATGGAGCAAAAACTCATGGGGTATGTGCACTGGAACCCACAAAATTCACATGCCAAGAAACAAGTCCCGGGACCCTGACATCAGTTACTGGGGTTATCCTCGATGCGTCAAAGTAGACGGAGATTTGGTGCCCGCTGATTATGGATCCGTGCCGGACGTGGTGGTCCAATTTTCTTGGAACAACAAAAGGGGGTGCGAAGAAGAAGCCATTGTTGATATTATGACGAAGAGCTTGGAGAAAGACCACGGTACATGCAATAATTCACTTCCAAGATTGGGATACCTGATCAAAGTCCAATTTAAAAGGAAGCGAAGATTGGTCAATGCTGTGAAAGGCAAGTACACCCAAGACATGGAGGGGCTAGATATTTATCGCCTGGAATCGAACACGACATTGGCCGATGCTTACGACGCATCTAATGACCGTGCGCGTGCATGGAGCTACACGCCAGGAGACGAAGAAAGCTACATTGAGATTGGACCTCAAGATTTGGGGATCACTGGGTTCCAAGCATGGCTTTGTGGAACATATCGGATTCCTGTGTCCAAGATATTTTTGAGGATGGAAGAGTACCACAAGGAACGACAAAAAGATGGCCTTGCGACGTAGGTGTTTGTACTCCAAGGAACGTTATCACTGGCCGCGTCGCTTTCATGGGATATGCAGCGTGCCCATTGAAATGCTCCCACGAAATACAAGTACTGCGTGCTTTCATGGACTACTCAAATTGAAATTGGACTACTACAACCTCATTATTCTAAACATAAACAACTACAAGTGCATGGTAGCTGGCCCAGTCCTGTTGCTTTCGAACAATCGCCGTGACAAATTGGATAGCAAATCTTCTGATGAAATAAAAGTAGAACGCAGCCTATATTACCTGCCCAACCTGTTCTATTTTCTATTTTTTCCCTCTCCTGGTTGAGCCTAGATTTCGCACGCTCATCTTATGGACTCCGGCGGCTTGATGCTGTACCCTCGCCAAGAAACGGGAAAACTGGGGTCACGAGAACAAAATTCCCAGCTCAGCTCTTTTTTCAGTTCATATTATCGCAACCCAACTCGCCCTCTCAGGCCTCTCAGGCTCCTCTCACTTTGTTCAAATCCAAAGAGCACATCTCACCTACATAGTTCATCCATCTGGTTCAAGAGGCTCCCATCGAAAAAGTTTTGTGGCAACCATGGGTAAGAAGACTGAGTCCGATCTCGTATCCGAAGATGGTGGCACTCCAGCCAATCCAGAAGCAGTGACTCCCTCAGAAGATGCAGAAATCAACTTGCTGGATATCGTGGCTGCGAGGATTGACACTCACAGAACAGAGGAAAAGATTTTATCCTTCTTACTGAAGAATGAGAGGAAGTTGACCGTATCCGATCTGGTGTCCGAAGAAGGTGGCGCTCCATCCAATCCAAAAGCAGTGACTCCCTCAGATGAAGACATCAACTTGCTGGACATTGTGGCTGCGAGGATTGAAGCTTACAGAAATGAGGAAAAGATTTCATCCTTCTTACTGAACAAGCAAAAGAAGACATGCGGTACTAAAGCTGACGACATGACAAAACAGATGATACAAGCAAGAAAAGGCCAGCAGCAAATGAATTGCTTTCTGCCCAACAGGGCTTCCCTCAACAAACCTTTCAAGAAACACAAGACATTGCACAGCCAGGAGCGTATGCCTTTGCCCCAACACCGTCCAACAACAATGATGCAGAGATAGTTATTGAAGAAACTAGGCATGACATTGAACCAGCACCACTCGAACAGGACAGCTCTGGTTTGGCAGTTGCAAGAGAGGTGCAGGATGATCCAGAAGACCCAAGAAGCTTGCCACAAGCAGAAGACTATAACGAGAATAGAGAGTCTAAGAAAAGGAACACACAAACACAAGAGTCAAATATGCGGATTGCATTGGTTCTTGGCTTCGGCCTCTGTCTTGTTGTTCTCGTTGTACTACTTGTGGTCCTGTTGGGGAAAACAGCTGATGGAACTGAAGCTACACTGGCCATGGAACCTGTCGAATCCAACAATGAAGATGCCCCTATGCACTCTAACATGGCCCCTAGTGCATCTCCTGTCTTTGAACAGCTCCTGAGCTACTTCCCAAACTACACTAGTTATCCAGGCATTGGAGGACCCAGAGTCTCCACAATCCAAAGCATTGGATTGGCTATTGGATGATCCAGATCTAATGGAATATGTCGATTTGGAATGGAGGGTGAAACAGTGATTTGCCCTGGTGGCACTGTTTCACTCCACCAATGGCTTCAACTGGACCTACTCTGATAACTTGCGTAGTTATAGCCACCATGAGTGTTTCTGGTATGCAAGTGGATCCATTCCCTTTGTGCTCCCTGGGACAGGTGACAATCACTTCAGAGGGGAGTATCAGAATCCATGTCATCTACCAATCAATGATACAATTGCAAATGACGCTATGGAGGCAATGAACTTGATTGAGGACCCAACTCAAGGTTCCTACAAACAGCTGTGGTTCCACATGAACAACTTGGAAGGCCAGCTACCAGAAGAAATCTACTGGCTGACAAATTTGGAGACAATGAGTCTCTTCTTCAATATGCTTGATGGGCCCATATCCTCAAAGATTGGCCAGTTGCAAGATTTGGAAGCAGCAATCTTCAGCTTCACTGATGTCACGGGGGCTCTCCCTACTGAGATTGGGATGTTGAGTGACACTCTTGCCTTCTTTCTCAGCGAGCGCACTCAACTCACTGGCACACTGCCTACTGAGATTGGCATGCTTTCCAGAATGGACACATTGTTGATGGATGCAAATCATTTCTCGCGCTCCATTCCAACAGAACTGTTCCAACTCACCAATCTTCAGATGCTTTACTTGGATGAGAACAGTCTGACTGGGACTTTGGCGTCAGACATTGGCTTGCTTGGAGACTTTGAGTTGTGTTTGTTTTGGCATAACCTCTTGACAAGACATTGCTTTTGATGGATTACATTTCTTTCTCAGGAACAATTTCATGCTGTCCAACTCAACCAAACTCATTCTCTTTATCACAGGTACATTGCCGACTGAAATTGGCCTTCTCAATTTGACCTCTGAAATCCATTTAGATAGGAATCTTTTTCATGGACGAGTAAGTTCTAGCAAGCAAGCAAGAAGCACTTTGTGCGGATACCAACCTGTGTTTCTTGTTCTAGATTCCTTCTGAACTCGGAATGCTGAATTCAAATCTCTTGCAGCTTTGTCTCAATGACAATCAATTCGACTCTTCCATACCAACTGAACTTATTTGATGTCATCTGTGATCACTATCGAGCTACAGAACAACACCCTTTCAGGCCAAGTTCCATCTGAGATTGCTGCCCTGCCCCACCTCACTCACTTTCTGGCACAGGAGAACAGACTCAGCGGCACTATTTCACTGGAATTCTTCAGCTTTCTTGAGACCAATGGTACCTCCACCTTGAAAGTTTTCAATTTCAATAACAACTTTCTTGGGGACAAGATGATTCTTGCTGGGTTAATGAAACCTTCCAACAGACACCATCTCTTTGCCACGAAGAATTCACCATCCTACCATATTCTTGCGAGTGTCGGTGCCGCTGTTGATTGGATGGCGATGGATGGCAGGCTGGACAGCCAAGTCATTCCTGATCTGGTTTTTCTTAGCATTGGACTTGGATTTGTTGACAAGTGAACAAGCACAACTAGCTAGCTTGCAGTACCGTACCGGTATAGTTATGGGCTGGGATAAGAGGCAGAGCCCTTTAGCATATTGTTTGATGTTCTATCTTTTGGAGATTTCTCCCTCGTTGTCATCTGCTGATGCATTGCTCTGATCACGAAGAATCCTACAACATGATATTGGAGTAGATGCTCACAACATCCTGTCATAGTAGATGCTCAACGAATAGCCACCTTGGATTGGCCGTCTGCGGTTCGTGCCCCGCTCCAACTATTGAATTGTGAGATAAAACATTGTCGTTGATGCAGCGGCTTCAAAAGGTGCGCCCCCCTCCTCCTGCACAATGGAAACCCACAACTTCTTCCCATGCTGCTTGTTCAACGCAGGTCATCGTTCATCCCTACTGTCAGCACTGGGCAGTTCTCGTCGTGCCATCTAGACCACGAAAAGTTGATGATGGCAGCATCTGATCCATTGACAGTTGTTGTTGCATTCCCTCGACCAGCGTCACCTGCCTGCTGGTACATGTACTGCGTGATTTGGTGGCTAGTAATACCGCACGATGCCCATACGTCGTACATGGTTTGTAGCTTTCGATGATAGCTAAAGTTGATGGCTCGGTTCAAAATCTCTTGGTAAATTTTCATCTCCTCCACCAAGACGCAGCACAAGTCTTTCATCTGGTGATCTTTGCGTGGATCCATTGACGAAGAAGAAGCATCCCCATTCGTATTGTCGTCTTTGCCCTTGCGATTGTTGTTGTTGTTGTGATTGAGCACCTTGCCTTCCCGTTCAAAGACGCCCGGGCCCCCCAAGGCAACATCGAGCTCCTTTAGGTCGTCCCAGAGATGCTCGGTTCGAATGACCAAAACCTCCTTGTCTGGAAGGGCTTTCACGGTTTTCTCGTAGTAGAATTCGTAATTGTCTTTTAGATGCACGTTGATGTGCTTGACTCGAGGATTGCTGCCTTTGAGCACGGTGACGGCCATTCGTTGACAATGTCGTGGATGCAATGGATTGTCGTGTGTATCGTTTGCTTCCTGAAGATTTGTCGTTCTCATGTTGTTATCTTTACTGTTGTTGTTGTTGTTGTTTTGCTCCTCGATTTCCTCCAGCGTCTCGAGCAAGTCTTGCAGCTTTGGAAAGCATGTCTTGTAGAACCTGTCTTTTAGAGGATGCTTTTTCTGGGCGAACGTGCTCTTCTTATTGTCGTGATGCAAGTAGTGATATGCCGACACGGCTCGTGTGACGGGGTTTCGCAAGGCAAACAGAAATGTGGTGTAGTCCTTGCGCAGGATATCTGTTGTTGGACCAATGTTGTTCATGTGCATTTCCGCATTGGCTTGTTGGGACAATGGTGAATCTCGTCTCCACGTGTTTTTGAAACACCACATTTGTTTTCGGAGTCCTCCTGGCAACCGTCGACATTTCAGTCGAGGCAGTGCCATGCGAACCGTATTCCCGCCGTTCTTGCCGACGTGTACAAATGCAATGCTGCGTGTCTTGTTCACGGCGGGGACCATTCGTGTCGAGTCATGGATCTTTCCATGAGCCGATGCCCTTGGCATGTTGCTTGTCTTTGCGACATTGGTAGTGTTGTGAATATTTCTTGAAATTGTGGCATTGACTTGTTTCGTGGCATTCCTGGCAATTGAGTGGTTTCTTCCTTTCTTTGTGGTGTTGGTTCTTGTTATTCCATCTTTCCCCCGGTGAATTGTGCTTTGTGGGTTCTCTTCTATTGCTCGCAGCTCAACATCGGGCCGCCTCGATGTTTTGATTTCGTGCGGTATCTTTTTGTAGTATGTTTCAGTATACTCGTAGGTAATGTCGGTCCGTCTCTTTGCTTGGTAAACGCCTCCCGGTATGTGGTTCTCCTTGGAGAGCATCAAGAAAACCAACCCCACGAGACCCCATAATACAAGGACGACAAGACCACGGCGACCAGGGAATGGCAGTGGTCCTGATCTTGTCGGGAAATTCATCTTTTCAAGAGATGAAGCTCTCTGTCAACACGGTGTCGAACGCATTTGACTTTCCGTCGACGAGCGACGAGAGAAGTTGCTTTTCCAAAAAGGGAGCCAAATTTTGGAGCCAACGTCAAAAAGGAAAGTGTGCGCTCGAAGTGACGTCACAAGCAAAGAGGAAAGCACCAACAACTTGAACGACGAGCACCAAGAGCACGACAATGGCTCTGCTGAGGCTCATGCGAGGGAAGAACAACACTTGCTATTGATTGTCTGACGATGAAGAGCTCTCCACGTATTGCTGTTTGCCTGTGGTGTCTCTTGCTTCTGGTGGAGCCCTTTCGACGCTGTCATGCACTGGCAACGACCAATCCAAACAGCGCCACCAAGAAGGGATACCGCGTCTGCACGGCCAGTCCTTGCGGTCCCAATGGCAGCGAACTCCTCTTGGATGCACTCCAACGGCTCGCTACGGATGGCACTACCTTGAAAGGAGACTACTGTCTTGGAGGTTGTTGTTCCGGTACGGTTGTCAAACCCATTGGCAAGACGAATTCTCATCGAAAAATGCTGCCAGTCATTGCCGACCAAGAAACGGCCATGGAGACGGCGGAAACGCTCCTCCTCGAATTGGACGCCCTGGACGAGTCCAAATTACAAACGCTCCGCGACAAAATGGCAGCGGGAGATCGGGTACTGGAGAACAGCAACGAACCAGATATCTGTCAAAACTGTGGTGTGGGACTGCAACTGTACAGAGGAAACTGTGCCAAATGTGGAAAGTATCCCTACTGATATGAAAAAGGCAGTAGTAGCGACCGTGCCACAGAACGTCGTGCTGTCTTGATGACAACCAAGCCTCACTGCACTTGCCAACGAGAGGTGCATCGCGCCACACTTCAAGGTGCAACCAAGATACAATGTACATAGCAAGGTCGTTGCAGTTGCCGGGTCAGTGAAGCCAATGCTATACAGCTAGTAGTCATTTTGTAACCTTGTCAGAGTGCTACTTCAAAGACATAAATAAGCGAAGTCAGCCAACTAGGCTTTGGTCTGGGCTCTAGCTTGTGACTAACCTTACAAAGTCAGTCGCAATCCAGCAAATTGTGGCCATACGGATATCAAAGAAGCGGCCCTCACCGATGTGTCTTAATGACGAAAACTCTTTGCGCGGAATGCCAAGATACGGATAGGAAACCAATGTTTCACAGCACGCAGTTTAGTTTTCGTCGTTCCTCTTAAAACTTAACAAGTAGGAGGGTCGGGGCGACGATCGGTAGGAATGTTTGCTGTACGTTTCCCTTTCCGCTTGTTAGGAATGTGAGAAAAGCTTCTTATGAAGTCATCCATTCGCTCGTATCCAACTCCGTTCTCAATCACCCTGCGAGATCTCTCGTCACTATTCATTGCCACTCCCGGTGGACCGCACCTTGCATCTTTGGACGACACAGAGCCGTCGACAATTGCGGAGCTCAGTTTAGTGAGCGAGGAATACAGGCAGTCCCATGCTGATTGCCGTGTAAAGTTCGAGGCAGCACCCATTCGGAATGGGATAAATGTATTGATTTTCATCCGTGCCTTTTCTTCCCAGCCATCGATGGTGCGGGTGATTGACCAAGAAAACTCTGGGTGGTCCAAACGGATACCGGTAGACCGTGGACGGTAGTTCCAGTTCAATTTCCCACAGAGGGGGCATGTCTTGCTCTTGTCCTGGCAACTTGGCAAGCAAATGATACATACTGTCGGCAATCACTTGGATGGAAGAAAACCATGGTGTTGCTTCGGGTGTGCGGTTGAAATCATCTAGCTCCCTCTTGATTCGTTTCGTACTCATGGTGAGGATGGTTCGAGCAGCGACATCGAAGACTTCACTGTCTCGCGGGCTGCCCAACAGACGGGCTTGGTATCCACCAAGGGACAGGATCCACTCTTCGGAGGTTCCTTCTTCTTCATCATCTTTGAGACTTGCAAACACGACAATCCTTTGTCCCATGTGACAGCCATCTTCTCTGACGATCAACTTGCCCCCAAAGCCAATGCTCTCTCCTGGATTGACAATCATGCTTTGCGGATCCATTCCACCCAACAAAGCTCTTTCCGGTTCCCCCCGCAAACTAAAACGAGCACTACAAAACCCTTGCATCCCTGATTCCGTATTGCATTCCCTGGTGTTGAAAAAGCGCCTTGCACGACAGGGCTGATCCGTTGCGTTTTGGATAGAATACAATGTTTTCATTGGCCACCACAAGTTGGTCGTCATAGGAAGAAGTACCGGTACGAGCACCCAAAGAACTCTCCAACCTACACTACAGCCATGGCGCCGGATGCTAGATCCTTGTTCCATTGTTCCAGCTTCCGGTGCGTACCGTAGGGGCGATGCCTGCTTGGAACGTCATGGAGTACCGTACACCACTGGTACCGCAAACACAATCACTGGCTGATCCCGAGTGATGCATGTCTTTCCGAGCTATCAGGATAGTAAAGTTTCCTGGGCGTTCACACACTGCGTCTCATTAATGTTTTCCACGGTTTCGAAAACGGCATGACATGCATTGTAATGCCGTTTCGGGGACCCCCCAACAACCAGCGCAGTTTAGGCACATTCATTTTTTTAAAACTTGGATGGCAACCACTGATTTTGCGCAAGGCAGCCGCCAGCACACCAAGAACCATAGCCAATTCAGTGCATTTCTATTGGATGTAGCAGGGGCTGCCAGAAGTTCTTTTTTTGTGACAATAAAGGCAGCGTTGTCCACTTCTGTTGCCGACAACGTCGAGCTTGTCGGTGGTGTGGAAAAGTCTTTTACCTGTTGAGTCATGAGTATCCGGGACTGAAATTCGAAATCGACTGGACCACCAAAAGCGATTCCTCACTTTTCTTTTTAGACTGACTTTTAAAATAAGCTCCACCATGGCCAAACAGTCTCTCTAGTGTTTAACCAACATCTAAAAAGAAAAGCCCTGTCTAGACAGTTATCAGTTACATTACAAGCCTTCAGGTGCTCTGTGAGCGAAGGAACCAGTTCGAACAGTGCTCTAGAAGCGATCGAACGACCGAGTAAGTAGTCACCGTGGATTCGAACGACATCGATAGCCGGCAACGGTTCGACGTCTTCCCAACCGACTACAGGCAAAGCAAGGGTACCACTACACTCGCAGGAGTGAGTACAGTAAGGCCTCCTACTCGAATAACAACAAAAGCGACCGGTGTTACCGATACGACCGGTTGAAAGCGCCATTGTCAGTCTTTTTCTTCTTCTTTCTTCGATCGAAGAACTCGCTGACACCTGGTGAGTCCAGTGAGTCAAATTGACTCATTTGACTCGAATCGAATCCATTGAATCGAATCGGAATTCCGATTCGAAAACGGGAATCAGTGACGTTTTTGCTGACGTCATCCCGTGACATCATCGTCTGACGTCATCGCGTGACATCATCGCGTGACGTCATAGTGACGTCATCCGTGACCGGGACCGACCTGTGACGTCACGTGGGACTGACCCAGTCACTAGTCCGTCCAAGTATACCCTATAGGTGCGCATCAACACGCTGGACTCATATCGAAGAACGATAACTTCGTTTGAGCAACGGTTGGAGAGCTACGGCATCTTTTGTCCGCAAGTTTCCAACACAAGTCGTCCATCATGAGTAAGACCAGAGGCAACGGCTCTGGCAGGAGTGGGTCGACGAAGAAGAAGAACAACAATAGCAACAGCAACACGAGGCGGACGACGACAGTGGAGTACAAGTATGCACCCAACTCGTCCGGAAAGGAAGGCACAAGTATCGTCCCCAAAGCGATCAGAAGAGAAAACGACAACCGAAAGTGTGCGGAATACAAACCAGCAAGACTTCAGTAAAGCGAATATTACGAGTTGAGACGAATTCAACTTTGACAGACCAAGAAGTTTGAAGTACTCGAGGAGCAGGATGCGGGAAAAAGACAGGAACTCCCCAGCAACAATGCATTCGAAAAGAACTATGATCCGAGAATGAACAGAAGGAGGGCTAGAGTGCGCAGAATGGTCTTCAAACGACAGAACCAGAATTGTGGAACACTCATTCAGCGAAGTACTGCCGCTAAGGAATGGTTGACAAACTAAAGTCGGAAGAAGATTTCGATTCGAAGTTGGACAAGGATCCCTTCGCTTTGTTCCCTGACGGCTTCTCTGATTCCTTCGGGAATGCCATCATCGCTCGAATCATCGTCAGAATCATCGTCAGAATCATCTTGCTTTGCTTCTTCACCATCGTCACTCTCCTCGTCATCACTGCTATCCGAGTCATCGTCATATGCTTGGTTCGCTCGAGGCAATAGTGCTGGTGGTTGATCTTGATTGTCAACGACTGGGACTGGACGCGATCCACTAGCAAGTAGATCCGCTAGCTCATTCTGATCCAATTCTTCCCATTCGTCTTCATCTTCATCGCTTTCGTAGCTTGATTCACTGTCAGAATCCGAGTCATTATCAGATTCGTTCCAGTCTTCGTCGTCATCGTCGTTTTCCCCGTCCACTCCTGCGAGCCAACGGCTCGCGTTGAACTTAGAATCACTTCGATGCTTGATACTTAAGCTCCCGATCTTCTGTTGATCTGCCATTTCGTGCACGCGATCAATGACGCGCTGAGTCATCGGCACTAGCCACGCCCGTGGTCTGGAAATCTCGCGTCCTGAGCGCAAGTCCATAACAACGTGCCCACCCTGAAAATTCCGAGCAGGGCGGAGATAGATGGCATCAATCGTTCGGGGATTCATCGTATTGTCTCCGTCTTGATTCACATTCACATAAGAACCAAACCCAAACTGGAGTTCTTTGTCATAATCAATATGTCTGCCTGTAATGATGGTGTAGGGGCTCAATTGGTCTGAAATACCAAGCTTGGTCGGGACGATTGTCACCGAATGAGCACCTTCCGTAACCATGTTCCGAAGCATCACACGAGGCATTCTGTTAAAAGGCAAGCGTGCGTAGCAAATGCGCACTCGCTCCTTGATTATTCTGTTGTTTCGCTCCGCGGCATGCACATGTTCATCCGCAGACGCGTAGTTCGTCGTGATTTGCATTTTACCTTTGACAGGATCGAGAATCTTCTCAAACTCCCCATCGCAGGAAACCACCGAGATACGAAATCCTGCCGCATTATAGCTGCGCAAAATCTCATTGAAACCCGCAAGTACAGACTTCTTGCTTCGGTTCTCGATGTGAATGCAGTGCCTGTATCGTACAGACAGGTCAATTCCGGTTAGGAACACTTCCTTGTTCACGAACATCAAATCCATGCAGTATTCCAATTCCTTATGCATGGCCACTAGCGATCGGGGAATCTCTGCCCAATCAACTTTCACTGGGGCAGGACGCTGTCGCGTAACCCTTCCCTTCAGCGCACCCACGTCTTCTCCATACACGAGTACCATATTCCGAACATCCTTCTCAGTAACAGGACAATTCCGAATCACATTATGCTTGATGGCTTCTCGCAGAGTACGAATCGTAGGAGTTCCCATACGGAAATACAGCTGCCGAGCTTTCTCCATGCCGGCACGTTCTCGTTGGGGAATCATCTTCAAATTTTCATCAACAGTCGGAACGGACTTCCCCACTCCTGCAGTTTCGGCAGGGGCCGTCTTCGACTTAACTTGGGCTAATTGGAGTAACGGATCGTCCTCCTTCATCCTTCTTGTTTCGCCATTGCCGCAACGGGTCAAGAACTCTTTCGATCCTGATACATTACACATACCATTCTTCTCTTGTGAATTCGACTATCTTCCATGTGTTTCCAACGTAAACGATATCTGCTTTGCGGTTGTCGTACCACATAGGGAACGTGTCGGACAAGTGTGTCCATCCCACGCAATTCATCAGGAACGACTTGTGAATAACAGCGGTTCCTGGTAACCCGGGTATGTCACCCACTATACTGAACTTTCCAATTCCAACGTTCGTTTTCATGCAATCGGTGTATCCAATTCCCGAATATTATGGCACATTCTTCCATCCTGCACGGTTGCTGCGAACGTCGATCCGCAATCCACTGCTAGCATTGTTCCTTCGGGTAACTGCGAGAACCATTGCACCACAGTCTTGCTTAACGCTGTCGGGTTGGGATCCGCATCAAAACGAATACGACCATTCATTAACCCAACTCCTGACTGAGTGTGATAGCCAAAATACTCGTATACTGCCGCTTAACTTATCGGCTATCTGACATCCGTGAAACTTCTGCTGTTCGTTGTACTTGAACATCATGAAAGCTTCGTATTCTTCCGGCGAAATCGTGATTGTTTGCATCCCCTGGAAAGCTCTGTACCTGGTTGACTCCAAGAGGTCTGCTGCGAACTTTGCTGCTGGTCTGTTCACTCCTGCGCATCGGAGCGCTTTGAGTCACTAGGCGTTGCCGCCTGCTGCTGCGGTGGGAGCCGCATGCTTCTCCTGCATGTAGCTGTTGAACTTGTTCGAAGCCCAATCATCCCGCGCAATCTGGTTCTTTTTCGGGCAATCCGGCACCTTATGATCCGGGGCCCCGCAGCAATAACAAAACACTGGCTTCTTCGGTGCTTGCTGCGCAAAACTACTCCCTCCAGAGGAACCACCCTGATTGGAAGCGTTGTTCTTCGGCGGTGATCCATCACTCCTACCCCCGCCACTCTGCCGGTTGGCCTTGTAGTTGGAAGCAAACTTCGCGGTGTGGACAATATTCACTGCCTTTGCCAAATCCCGTGGGTATTCGTCCTGACCACGCGTATAACGCTCACGGAGATTGGTCTTCAAATCCTTGTACTTCGGATGGAAAGCGTTGTTTCACCATAATGTAGGCCTGCAAGATTGTTGGACCTTGCTGGCGCCACGCTGTTTTCTGCTCGCTTGGTCCAGTTCTTCTCAGGGTCGAATCCAGGGAGCGTATCCATGAATTGGTTGAGCCAATGCGGCCCAAGGTATTTCGCCAATGTGTTGAAGGTATCTTGAACGCGGTAACCAAAAGTATCGGCTGATTCGTGTTCTTCCTGCTTGATCGCCACCAGATTGAATATCGCTTTTGTCAAAGTAGCGAATGCATAGGTTG